AAAAAAATGAAAATTTTTTTCAAAATCCCGATGTTGGAGAAAAAAAATGAAAATTTTTCCAAAATTCCAAGGTTGGAAAAATAAAATGAAAATTTTTTCAAAATTCCGAGGTTGGAAAAAAAAAATTAAATTTTTTTCAAAATTATGCGGTTGGAAAAAAAAAAATGAAAATTTTTTTCAAAATCTCGATGTTGGAAAAAAAAAATGAAAATTTTTTTCAAAATCCCGATGTTGGAGAAAAAAAATGAAAATTTTTCCAAAATTCCAAGGTTGGAAAAATAAAATGAAAATTTTTTCAAAATTCCGAGGTTGGAAAAAAAAAATTAAATTTTTTTCAAAATTATGCGGTTGGAAAAAAAAAATGAAAATTTTTTCAAAATCCCGAGGTTGGAAAAAAAAATGAAAATTTTTTCAAAATCCCGAGGTTGGAAAAAAAAAATGAAAATTTTTTCAAAATTGCGAGGTTGTTGGAATTCGGAATTTTGAAAAATTTCATTTTTTTTTCCAACCTAGGACTTTAGAAAAAATTTTCATTTTTTTTTTCCAACCTAGGAATTTCGAAAAAATTTTCATTTTTTTTTCCAAACTCGGAATTTTGAAAAAACTTACATTTTTTTTTTCCAGCCTCGGAATTTTGAAAAAATTTTCTTTTTTTTTTCCAAACTCGGAATTTTGAAAAAATTTTCATTTTTTTTTCCAACCTAGGAATTTTGAAAAAATTTTCATTTTTTTTTTCCAACCTAGGAATTTCGAAAAAATTTTCATTTTTTTTTTCAAACTCGGAATTTTGAAAAAACTTACATTTTTTTTTTCCAGCCTCGGAATTTTGAAAAAATTTTCTTTTTTTTTTCCAAACTCGGAATTTTGAAAAAATTTTCATTTTTTTTTCCAACCTTGGAATTTTGAAAAAATTTTCATTTTTTTTTTCCAACCTCGGAATTTTGAAAAAATTTTCATTTTTTTTTTCCAACCTCGAAATTTTGAAAAAATTTTCATTTTTTTCTCCAACCTCGGAGTTTTGATAAAATTTTCATTTTTTTTTCCAACCTCGGAATTTTGAAAAAAATTTCATTTTTTTTTCCAACCTCGGAATTTCAAAAAAATTTTCATTTTTTTTTCCAAACTCGGAATTTTGAAAAAACTTACATTTTTTTTTTCCAACCTCGGAATTTTGAAAAAATTTTCTTTTTTTTTTCCAAACTCGGAATTTTGAAAAAAATTTCATTTTTTTTTCCAACCTCGGAATTTCGAAAAAATTTTCATTTTTTTCTCCAACCTCGCAATTTTGAAAAAATTTTCACTTTTTTTTCCAACCTCGGAGTTTTGATAAAATTTTCATTTTTTTTTTCCAACCTCGAAATTTTGAAAAAATTTTCATTTTTTTTTCCAACCTCGGAATTTTGAAAAAATTTCTTTTCTTTTTTCCAACATCGAAATTTTGAAAAAAATTTCATTTTTTTTCCAACCTCGGAATTTTGAAAAAAATTTCATTTTTTTTTCCAACCTCGGAATTTCGAAAAAATTTTCATTTTTTTTTCCCAAACTCGGAATTTCGAAAAAATTTTCATTTTTTTTTCCCAAACTCGGAATTTTGAAAAAATTTACATTTTTTTTTCGAACCTCGGAATTTGGAAAAAATTTTCTTTTTTTTTTCCAAACTCGGTATTTCGAAAAAATTTTCATTTTTTTTTCCAACCTCGGAATTTTGAAAAAATTTTCATTTTTTTTTTCGAACCTCGGAATTTTGTAAAAATTTTCATTTTTTTTTTCCAACCTCGGAATTTCGAAAAAATTTTCATTTTTTTTTCCAACCTCGCAATTTGGAAAAAATTTTCATATTTTTTTTCCAACCTCGGAATTTTGAAAAAATTTTCATATTTTTTTTCCAACCTCGGAATTTTCAAAAATTTTCATCCTTTTTTCCAACCTCTGAATTTTGGAAAAATTTTCATTTTTTTTTCCAACCTCGGAATTTGGAAAAAAATTTCTTTTTTTTTTTCAACCTTGGAATTTTGAAAATAATTTAATTTTTTTTTTCCAACCTCGGATTTTGAAAAATTTTCATATTTTTTTCCAACCTCGGATTTTGAAAAAATTTTCCCACCTCGTAATTTTGAAAAAATTTTCATTTTATTTTTCCAACCTCGGAATTTGGAAAAAAATTTCATTTTTTTTTCCAATCTCGGAATTTTGAAAAAATTTTCATTTTTTTTTTCCAACCTCGGAATTTGGAAAAAATTTTCATTTTTTTTTCCAACCTCGGAATTTTGAAAAAATTTTCATTTTTTTTTCCAACCTCGGAATTTGGAAAAAAATTTCATTTTTTTTTCCAACCTCGGAATTTTGAAAAAATTTTCATTTTTTTTCCAACCTCGGAATTTGGAAAAAATTTTCATATTTTTTTTCCAACCTCGGAATTTTGAAAAAATTTTCATATTTTTTTTCCAACCTCGGAATTTGGAAAAAAATTTCATTTTTTTTTCCAACCTCGGATTTTTGAAAAAAATTTCATTTTTTTTTTCCAACCTCGGAATTTGGAAAAAATTTCATTTTTTTTTTCCAACCTCGGAATTTTCAAAAATTTTCATAAAAAATTTTCATATTTTTTTTTCGAACCTCGGAATTTTGTAAAAATTTTCATTTTTTTTTTCCAACCTCGGAATTTGGAAAAAAATTTCATTTTTTTTTCCAACCTCGGATTTTTGAAAAAAATTTCATTTTTTTTTTCCAACCAAAAATTTTCATTTTTTTTTCAACATCGGAAT